TATTGCGATTTATTGGATGGGAATTACCCTTAAATGTTCCATCCATTAACTGAAAACAGGCTAGACTAATCGATTCTTGGGACTTAAGATATTTTTTACCCAGCCCTAGCATTTATAAATATGAATGTGTACAAGTTACTTCACCAGTCAGATTGTTTGGGTTTGGTGTCCTTGGTCAATTTTTTCCCTGCAGAGCCTCTGAGATGAGACAGGATTCTGGAATGCCGTTGGTTCTCTTTTCCACTGTCACATTCGCTCTCTGATGTTGGATCGGTGTCTCTTTTTGCTTTATGTATCACAGAAGGTACAGCGCTGTTTGTTTTAAAGCCATCCCCTGTAGGGACCTAAGTTCAAATGTACAATTTAGAATTGTTATTTCCTAAATTTTGGATTGTGCTATTTTTATGAAAAGACTGAATTAGTGGTCATTAATGATTAAATTAATGATAACTGAAATGTAGTAATCAATTTTCCCTTTCTTTACCTTCTGAATGAGATGGGAAACCTGCTGCTCTAGTTTTTTAATTCGCTGCTCATTTTCTTGATTTACTCTAGTTGGTTTTCCACCTCGTTGTCGAAACTGGGTTAGGACTTCATCAATCCACGGAGTAGTGAGAGGAGCATCTGACTTTGCCTTCATTACAAAAAAACACATTGAACATAAACATATGTCTCATAACCACCTCAAGATGATTCAAAAGCCATTCTCAGTCTAAAAGCTTGAGAAAATAAACAGTATCATAAAAACAATTTACCAGTTCTTCATTAACACTGGTGTCTGATGAAATTAGAAACTCAAGAAAGTCCTCAAGACCAGGAACATCCATAGGACTGTCTTCTGCTAAAGGAGAAGGATTTCCTATGCGATCTACTCCATCTAGTGTAGTGACTTGATGCAGAGACTGAAGAACCATCTCTCTGTAGCCTACAAACAAAGGAAGAACATACTAGTGAAAAAAGTTGCCAACTTTTTCTATCTTATATATTCTTTTTGGCCCTTTTAGACTATTTTAGATTTTCCACACCAGTTCCATTGCATGATTCACAGTTTGCTTGTCTGAAAAAAAATTCTTGATTTTCCTTCAGGGTTTTTTCCTACAAACCTGGCAGTGAGCAGACTGGATTCTGTGCACCATCCTTGCTAAGAGTAACATCTTTCAGATTCTGCATTCCCACCATGCACTGCAGCAGGTGGTTCATGCTATCCAAACAATTGCTGTGGAGCTGTAGGTACTTCAGTTTGTACTCTGCTCCATGAAGATACAAGAGACCTGAAAGCACAGAGCAGTAAGTGAATACACAGTTGTCCAGCTGTGATCTACACTATCGTTCATAAGTTTGGGGTTCAATAATAATAATAAATTAAATAAAAAATGAATACTTTTATTCAGCAGGGATGCACTGGTAAAATGTGACAATATTTTTACATGGTACTATTTCAATTAAATGCTGTTCTTTTGAACTCTCTCATCAACAAATCCTAAAAAACGTATCATGGTTTTCATAAAAATTAAGCTGCACAACTGTTTTCAACATTGATAATAAGAAATATTTATTGTGCACCAAATCAGCATATTACAATGATTTCTGAAGGATCATGTGACACTGAAGATTGGAGTAATAGCTGCTAAAAAAAATTCAACTTTTGCTTTGAATTACATTTGAAAATATATTAAAATAGATATAGCTCTATTATAGTCAATAATTATATATTTCAAAATAAAAGTGTTATTTTAAATTTGAACAACATTCTGAAAAATTCAGATTGTGGGAAATGTTATTGTATGATTCACTGAAGAAGGCTTGTTGACAAAATGTTTGATTGTTGATTGCTCTGTTGCAAAATAAATATAAATTTCAAGTCATTAAGAAGATACAGAGAGTTGAGGATCCTTTATCTGAAAGTAATGTATTTCTGATCAAATAAATGAAGCTTTGGTAAACATAAGAGGGTTATTTTTTTTATTTTTTTTAAATACAGACTTTTTAATGTTAGTGGCATTTCTTATCTTACATGTCAAATAATTCAGAGAGCAAAAACAAACTACTCAAGAATCAACACATTGATGGGAATGCAATCTAACCTACCAGTTAGGTCATTTATTTGATTGTAGGCCAAATTCAGTCTTGTGAGACTTGTTAGTCCATTGAGTCCTGAAAGAAATCCATGTATTGACAGATTACAAACCAAAGACACCTAATTAGAAATAATAACAGGAAGGAACGGTTTAAGATCACATTGAAAACAGACGCGCTTTCATTTTTCCATTAAAATTATACTACAGGGCATTTTAAACATTTACCACATTTTCTGCAATAAAAAAAGTGTGAGCTTTACCTTCTACTTTGGTGATTAAGTTGCAGGACAAGTTTAAGGTGCGCAGTGAGGACAGGGAAGCTAATCCCTCTATACGACAGATGTGATTGGATGACAGGTCCAGATGTCTTATGTGCCATGCTGTCGTCAAGCCCTCAATCTTAGTGAGGCGATTACAGTGAAGATTCAGAGACGAAATACTGGGATTCAGTGGGACCTCTAGTAGACTAAAAATAAATATCTTCAGTGAAATCACAATCACACACTGTACTTAAAATACTGTGCAGCCACTTCTGCTGTCAAACTGGACTATGGGTTAACTGACCTTGAAATATCCTTATCAATTAGACAGAGCTCTCTAACAGCCATGACCTGCTACAGACACACACTGAGAACAAGTTTCCGTCGTTATCAACCTGTCAAATATATAAGCAATAACCCACAGACCTATTGGGTGTTACATGACTGAATAGGTCACAACAATAATCAATGAAAGGGATACCTTAACAACAACATAACGTGTTACTGTTTCACACAGCTAACTTAGACGTTTATTTACATTGCTGCTACAAAAACGATTGAAGCTTAATCGAAGTAACTGTTAAATTGGGTCTTTTAATTCAGATAATAAGAACTAAGACGACGAACTGACATAAATTAAGTTTTAGACACTGGGCGCCCGACAGTTCAGCACTTGACAACACAACACATGATGTAAACAAAGCCCAGACTGATTATGTACACAAGTTTGATTGCGTAATTTGTGTTAATAACAGGTCAGTTCTTCTATTAAAAGGCGCGCAGAGCTGCCAGGGTTGTATAAAACTATTTATAGGTAACTTAAAGCTTTAATATAACGTTAACTTTCATTTCAAATGCAACGTAACGTCAATTCTTCTGTTAGCCTCTGATTACTTTTTGTTGATTTCACGATATCTTCCTCTTCCGTTATACTATAAATAATATGTATAAAATGATGTGTGTTAAATAATTACATACCTGACTTGTTGTAAACTCTAACTGCCTGCGAAGGATTCAAAGATTGCCATTATATTTTTACCGCTGTAGAAATTAAAAGTCCCGCTTACTAATTCCTACTTCCGGCCGGGTACGTAGTCACTTCCTATAGATGGCTTTTGTTTCAGAAGTTTCGAATGAGCTCAGTTGAGTCCCAAAAGATACTGAATGTCTTTTAAAACTTTCAGTTGGCTTACATTAATGCACAGCTACAATCAACGTTAAATACCCACAAATCAAAAACGTGCTGCAATTGATGTCAAACCGATTTTATTTCACAAATGCGTCACACAATATTAAACACACAAAAATATTTTTACCACACTTTTCAGATAAGTTATTATAAACTACAATAAAAAGAAAAAAGAAATAGAGATGTAAACATAGCTTATATTCCTAATAATGAGCGAGACATAAATCATCTTATTATAGTTTACTTACCTGTATACCTGTACATACAACTGTCTATTGTTATATACCTGTACATACAATTGTCGATTTGTATATTTTTATTCCTTAGTTACTTGTTCTATTTTTCTATTTTTTATTATCTGTGTTTTTGTTCTGTCACTGTCATTCTGCTACACTGTGGAGCTTCTGTCATGAAAACAAATTCCTCGTATGTGTAAACATACCTGGCAATATAAAAAAATTATTATTTTTTTTTTTTTAACTCAACTCATTCTTATACATAAATGTGCATTCAATAAACATGATTTAAATCTGTATAATTATAATGTCCAAAAAAAATCAAATGCACATACAATTGAATTTTTTCATTTATCTGTAAACCTTTATGACAGTTGACACTGAAATTGATCACATTTGCTAGATAAAATACTGTAGAAATTAAAAGTCCCGCTTACTAATTCCTACTTCCGGCCGGGTACGTAGTCACTTCCTATAGATGGCTTTTGTTTCAGAAGTTTCGAATGAGCTCAGTTGAGTCCCAAAAGATACTGAATGTCTTTTAAAACTTTCAGTTGGCTTACATTAATGCACAGCTACAATCAACGTTAAATACCCACAAATCAAAAACGTGCTGCAATTGATGTCAAACCGATTTTATTTCACAAATGCGTCACACAATATTAAACACACAAAAATATTTTTACCACACTTTTCAGATAAGTTATTATAAACTACAATAAAAATAAAAAAGAAATAGAGATGTAAACATAGCTTATATTCCTAATAATGAGCGAGACATAAATCATCTTATTATAGTTTACTTACCTGTATACCTGTACATACAACTGTCTATTGTTATATACCTGTACATACAATTGTCGATTTGTATATTTTTATTCCTTAGTTACTTGTTCTATTTTTCTATTTTTTATTATCTGTGTTTTTGTTCTGTCACTGTCATTCTGTTACACTGTGGAGCTTCTGTCATGAAAACAAATTCCTCGTATGTGTAAACATACCTGGCAATATAAAAAAATTATTATTATTTTTTTTTTTAAACTCAACTCATTCTTATACATAAATGTGCATTCAATAAACATGATTTAAATCTGTATAATTATAATGTCCAAAAAAAATCAAATGCACATACAATTGAATTTTTTCATTTATCTGTAAACCTTTATGACAGTTGACACTGAAATTGATCACATTTGCTAGATAAAATACATTAATGATTATACATATTAAGCTACAGTTTTCATCCTTTCATTTTGTCTGACTATACATACTCATGTATGTGCATGTATGACCAGTTGAATGAATGAAAAATGCATATAAATAAATAAATAGACATGAAAGGGTGAACAATTCGATTTGGATATCTTCCAAAAATAGTAAACTTGATAGGTGTGCTGGTCCCAGTCCTACAGAAAGAAAGAAAAAGTGAAAATAAAATATTTCCCTATTTTTTTAAATATAGAAATACCACAGAATTTCTGTTTATGCTATATTATTACGTAATACATTCTTAAGTATTTTACAAGAAACTGTTGGTTATGCACTGAGTGAAGCAAAAGAGGACTTTCTGTTTGCTGGATACTGAAGGTCAAATTATGAGATATTTCAGAGAGAGCCCTGTAAACTAAAATGACTTTTAGTTTACAGGGCATTGCTTATGAATGTTGCTTATGAAGTCTGGCTAAAAATAATGAGTGCAAAAAATTGCACAATATGTTCTTCTTACATGGACAGCAGGGAGTCTCAAATCTCAGATAGTGACATCAGTACATCTCACAAAAGTCTTGAAAGACAAAGGCAATATACTTTTTTGATGATGTCAAATAAAAAGAGAGAAGAATGTTAAATATAATGGGACATTAATTGTGGTACAAACCTTGCTCAGTTGTCTACATCAGATATGTGGTTTTCTATCTGGGATTTAACACACACACACACACATACAATTATATCCAATACAAATGGGTCTTGCTGATATATCAAATAAAAACAAATGACATTTCATATTCAGATGAGTTCAATGACAGCTCACCAGTTCACTGTTAGCCCTGTCATTATATCCATCATCACCTTCATCAGTCCCTTCCCAAGACCCCGCTTCCTGATGTTCCTGATCCACATCCTCTTCTGTCTCACTATAGAGCGATTGATAGGCCTTCTCGTGTTTCCTGTGGGTGTCTACACAATATTGAGTTCACGGGATTAAAGTGCGGCCAAAAGCTACAGTGAATATTTAAAGAAAACGTACACTGACTGTAATTTTAATGGTAATAGACTGTAAACATGCTATAGTGAAAACATGTTAATTAGTTAATGGTAAATTCTCTTACTCTCTATGGTAAAAAACTGTTATAAATCTAACGGGCCATTTAGTGTCCTTTTCTAATTAAATACTGTTACATTTACAGTTTTTAGATGTGAAATATAGCAAGTCTTTTTATAATTTACAGATAAAAAAATTGACATTTTGACAATAGCCAGATTTACCTGTGAAATACTGCATATTTAATGTTTTTTTTATTTAAATAATTAAAAAACTTAGTTTTTTATTATGTTTCTTGGTTACATTAGGGTTTTGTTACACGTTATGTTGTTAAATGAATGTTTATTACATTATTTTAGTGTCATGTTTGTTACCATGGTGGTGTTTTGTATTTGCATGTAAGACACTGAGTTTTGATTCATCATGTGGCTTTCTCATGACCACCTGTGTTTTTTATGGCTGTCAGCATATCATAAATGTACAAAACACATTTTAGTACTTCAGGTGGTTGGTATAATAAATGGTACTATTTTTTACATTCTGGCAATCACAGCTGCAGTTTTTTCTTGTAAATTTCAGTGTTTTTTAACAGTGTAGGCTAGCAAACTTTCAAGCAAGTAAAACTAACACAGGTATGTGGATGTCTCTTCTCCTAGTCCAAGTTGTGTGTGTGTGTGAAGACACGAGTGGTGCTGTTTTCGATTTCCTGCACTGACATTGCAAGTGATGAAGACAAGTGTTTTTAATCTACCTCCTGCCAACATGGCCTCTACCCTGACAGCAATGTTCATTTCATCCTCTTACCTGCTTCGGCTAACTGCTTCTGTTCAATCTTCTCTAGCCTTCCCAGTAAGGAGTCGATCTTAATCTTTATCTGGGACAGTTCTTGTTTGATTGTCAGGAGCTGATCGGATTTCACTTGGATAAAAACAAACAAACAATGATGAGGATGAATATATATCACTGTGATTTTATCAGCTCATTGATGTAAAATATTATTTTTAGTTTTAAAATGGTTAAGGTTGGAAATAGGTTATGAACTGTATGGACATGTTATGTCAAAGTCCAGGTTATTAAAGGTGCCTGATTACACAAATAAAGGTTCCAAAAGGGGTTTTCACAGCGATGCCATAGAAGAACCAGTTTTAGTTCCCCAAAGAACCTTTCAGTGAACAGTTCATAAAAGAACCATTTTTTCTTAGTGTGTGTGAAGAACATTCTAATAATCTAAAGAACATTTTTCCACTGTAAAGAACCTTTTGTGGAATAAAAAGGTACTATGGATGGTAAAGGTTCTTTGTGGAACCAATGATGCCAATAAAGAACCTTTATTTTTAAGAGTGCAGAGTGTTCTAGGTGCTAAAAATATGATAATGGAAATTTAAATGATATGACACAAATTGACTTTGAATGATGGACAAACCCATAGAGCATAAGGAACCTGAAGACAGCGTTCTTAGATAAGAAGAGCAGGTGGACATCTTTGGCTGGAATGAGTTTTTTGCCCTGCGTGTTGAGAGTGCAATCAAATGGGAATGCTTGATAGGTATCATAGCCCGAGGGGAGGGTGCTAGTCTTCCATGAATGTCAAAAATTCTGAAAAGAAAAATAGAAAAATATTTGTAAAAATATTTTATATTATTATTATTAATAATCATTAAAAAAGTGTATCACAGTTTTATTTTATTAAACATATTAGGCACCACAATTTTCAATATTGATAAAAATAAGAAATGTTTCTTGAGCACCAAATCATCATATTAGAATGATTTCTGAAGGATCATGTGACACTAAAACTGATATAATAGCTTGCCACCACAGGAATAAATTACATTTTAAAATATATTACAATAGAAAGCAGTTATGTTAAATTGTAATAATATTTCAAAATATTACTGTATATTACTGCATTTTTGATCAAATAAATTCAGCCTTGTGAGCATAAGAAACTAAGATAACTATCCAAAAATCAAAAAATCAAATGCACATACAATTTAATACACATTAGGAATTCCTTGTTGATATTTTTATTTAAATGTCACTCAATTATTATTATTATTGTTGTTATTGTTATTAAACACTTTAAGCTAGATATAATATAAAGAGAATATCTTAGTCTACATGCAAAAGAACAAGATCACTTTTTAGTCCCTCTCCCCTGAGATAACACTTGATGAGCATAATTAGCTTTTACCTGCATATTTTGAAATAACCTCACTGAAGGAATTTTGCTTGTTAGCACACATATATTTTCCATGGAGATGTATAAAACTCAGCTCTGCCAAATGAGGAGTGAAAGCAAACACATGAAAATGTCAGAGGAAAGATGACCGGCGTGTCTGCGCTGCTCAGTTAACGACCCAGCAGCTTTCTGACATTCAGCTAATGTCTCACAGGAGAGGACTGCTCATCATTAGCCTGAGCAAAGGATCGAAGTCAAACCAATAAAATGACATTAATTATGCTTATTAGGGGAAGCTCTTCCTCTACTTTTTAGTTTTTATTTTTTTCTTCACCTTACCTCAGTTTTTCATAACAGAGAAAAGGTCATACAAGACAAGTTGGATCTTAACTAAAAATGTAATTAACAAAACCTTATTACAAAGCTCCTGCAAAAATAGATCTTACCAATTCAACTACTAAAACACCAATGTAACTGTATCAAAAGATTATCTATGAATTCATGCATTTGCATAAGTGAATGCATATACATACCTGGTATAGAAATCATCCCTGTAGAAATCATAATCAAATTCATAGCCACTTATAAATAAATAAATAAAAAAGATGAGAAAAATGTTATTTCAGTCTTTCCATATCTACCTAATCACAATGCAAAACATTTTCAAAAATTCAATTTAGGTGGTTCACCTGTATAAGGAGAAAGGTCGCTTGGATCCCACTTTTGGCCTGTAAGGACGTGGTTCTCCAGCCATGTTAATGTCTGTGGGAAGAGCAAAGGACATTGTACAAAAACAGTATACGCTATCCTTTTAATCATAGTCTCCTTCAAATGAATAACTAACAATGGCTGGTGAATATAATGGACTTAGAAAAGCCTCTGCGCCCTGAGAAAGTGCATAGGCATTATGCCACAGAATAAATGACTGATGGCTCTCATCTGTCTCATCAGAAAGAGAGATGCTATCAAAGCAACAGCCTCAACACACACACACACACACAGATGCACAATCACTCCTGAGTGCCTTTCAAGGTCACCCGGCACGTTATCCAGAAGGACGGGCCGCCTGAGTGCCTGACTAAATCACAATTCGGGGCTTTAAGACATTTACAAGCAATTTCAACCTTCACTTTGATGAAGCACAAAACAAAGCACTAAATCTGTGAAGAAAAGTAGTGCACTTTCAGAGTTTAGATTAGTCTTTGCCTGAATGAGCCAAATTCATTATGGAAGCATACAGACCTTTCAAATGGAGACAGTCATGCTCTGAATATATTTATGAGACTGAAGTTTCAAAACATTTGAATGAATATATTGGAAAATACACTCAAATTGAAAAGCAGGAGGGAAAACAGTTGATAGGGAAGATCAGGTTTGTTTCATCCTCTTTAATTAGCAGGTTCTAATTACAGCTAAGCTGCGATGAGAGTGGACGATTTGGAAACATTATCATTAGTTTGACGTTAACACAAAAGCTTTAAAAAAAAAAAAAAAAAAAGTTCTCTTCAAATTAATGTAATTATGTTGACTTAAAGTGTTTGAGGTTCAAAGGATATCTTCATGAGTTTGATGTCGGTGTCTAACAGAGAAACGTAAAGGGATAGTTGATTTGACAAAACATTTGACAAAAAAAAGATTTTTATTATATATTATATATTATTATATTATATTATATTTAATGCATCTTTTAGCAGACAATTTTATCCAAATATATTATATTATATAATATTATTTTAAATAAAATTTTAATTATTTTTTATTCATTTTATTTTATTCTTTTTTATTATATTTTTTTAAAAGATTTTATTACTTTTGACATAATACATTTATTTGAAATAGTCAAGCAAATTTCAGAAGATTTCAGATGCGATTTTAATATTCTGCCTGAGTATTTCTAGGTTCTCATATACTTTTGAGGTAAAGTAATCTGCATCAAAAGTTCATGAACTGAATGGGGTCAAGAATTGTTACCAATAGTTTGATTACAATGAACTGTTTTAGATGATGAACGATGACACAGTGTGTTAATCTGTACTGATTTACATTAATACATTTGGCATACACTTTTCTCCAGAGCCATTTACATTGCATTCAAGCTATTAAATTTTTTTTTAGTTCATACATTTCCTGGCAAATCAAACCCTTGATTCTAGTGCAATTCTCTACTGTTTGGGTTACAGGAACGATTGAGTCTCTTTGATGACATTAATGGGGAAGCAAGCAATTTAAGTTCTCGATAATGGTTTTGTGAGATGGTTTCTTGGGAGACAATACGATCCAAAACAGGCTGAATCATCCAATAATCAGCGGATAGTCCCACGACATGCCAGACATTTCACTCGATATGTGCCGACCATCTAAAATACCACCATATTTCAGACGTGGAGCCATATCAATACTTTAATCTGAGTTTACCAACGGGCCTCCTCTATTCAGTATGCTGTTCACTCAAAGGTCTGTCAGGCTTAGCGTAGAGAGAAGATTGGCATTTCTCTTAGTGATGACCTCTGCTTAATGTCAATGTGTCTGCCTGTCAGCTTAAAAGAGTTTTCTGAGTGATTCATTTGACGAGACATAACTGAAGTCTTATGCCTAAACTTGTGCCTGAATGCCAAACTCTAAATTAAATATCTGTTCTGATAAACATCAGTAAACAAAGTGACTCAAGATACCTGACTAAGCAAGAAAGAACTTCAAGGACTTTATTTGTTTTCAAAGAAAATCACTTTGCAGTCACATAATTCATATAGTTCTGTTTTACACTCTTAAAAATAAAGGTGCTTCACGATGCCATAGAAGAACCTTGTTGTCTAAATGGTTCCATAAAGAACCTTTAACATCTGAAGAACCTTTCTGTTTCACAAAAGGTTCTTTGTGGCGAAAGAAGGTTCTTCAGATTATAAAAAGGTAAGAAAAAGATGGTTCTTTAAAGAACCTTTGACTGAATGGTTCTTTGTGGAACCAAAAATGGTTCTTCTATGGCATCGCTTGAAGAACCTTTTGAAGCACCTTTATTTTTAAGAGTGTAGGTAGTAACCTATGAATATTATTCAGACACCTCTGGTATTTGTTGTATCTCTTTCACTAATGAGTGTTTTCCATACATGACCTACTTATCAAACATCTCCTTCACTTCCTTTATTCATTCCTTTGTGGCATGATGTAATTCGGTGACTGATGTGCGCAATTGTCTGGAACGGTTTGTACACTCGAGGACATCATATAATTTTCAGTGCCACTCATTATCCCTGGAGTCTTGTGTGTGCACAGTTACAAAACTTTGCAACCTTTATTTTTAAGAGTGTAGGTAGTAACCTATGAATATTATTCAGACACCTCTGGTATTTGTTGTATCTCTTTCACTAATGAGTGTTTTCCATACATGACCTACTTATCAAACATCTCCTTCACTTCCTTTATTCATTCCTTTGTGGCATGATGTAATTCGGTGACTGATGTGCGCAATTGTCTGGAACGGTTTGTACACTCGAGGACATCATATCCATTTTCAGTGCCACTCATTATCCCTGGAGTCTTGTGTGTGCACAGTTACAAAACTTTGCGTTGATCTGCCATCTTTGATTAGACACACACAAAACATGGATGCTCATCATGGACAGATGAAACCCGCAAGCGAATTTAACAGCTTTTGGGGTTTAGGAAATTGCGTTTCTGAAAATGTCTGATTAGTCATTTATTTTTTGACTACTTGGCCTGTTCAAAACTGCATTTCAAATCTTCTGGAGTAAGTCAAAGAATATGAAAAAGTTAAAGGAGTAAATTCTGTAGTCAAGGAGAGAGAAAAAATCATGCCCAGCCACTAAAGGTGATGTCCTGTACTTCAATGTGGAGAACACATACTGAACCCTCTGACAAAAATTAAAGGGAGGAGGTTATCATTTCAGACAGGTCACAACATTTTTTAACTAGTACAAGATTCTTATGTATTTTCCTCCTTGAAAGCTTTCAGCAAAGTTGACCAAAAGGTTTTGGAAAGAAAGAAAGAAAGAAAGAAAGAAAGAAAGAAAGAAAGAAAGAAAGAAAGAAAGAAAGAAAGAAAGAAAGAAAGAAAGAAAGAAAGAAAGAAAGAAAGAAAGAAAGAAAGAAAGAAAGAAAGAAAGACTTATAATCTTACAAATATATTTCATCAGGCAGCATTGAAATTAACTGAAAATGAAATATTTTTTATTGTAAATAATATTATTTTATGATATTAATTACTATTGCATATTATTATATTAAATAATGTAGTATTTTTATTATATTAGTATTTTAATATTGTTAAAATGTATACTATAACTATATTAGGTTGCACCAAATATTTTTTTCATCTTTTTTATTTTTACTTAAACATCATTTGAGATCAAGTAGAAATAACTCCTTAAGGAAACAGCTGCATATTTTCTCACTTTTTACAACATATAAGTACATTTGGTTACTTGTCATTTAGAAGATGCTTTCCATGGGAGTTCCCCTGCGCTTAATTACAAACAAATGTTTTAATTGCATTTATTAAATGTATTTATTCATAATTAACCAGATTTAACATATCAAAGAAAAACAGAACTATAACATTGTGTAATTACTAACATTTCCTAAAAATGTTCATTTTAATTTACAAAGCTGCAAAAGTATTATTATACATATTTATATTTGATCGATTCTGTTACAAATCATGTATTAAAAGCACTTATCAGAAATATGGTACTTGTTTGTCTGTAAAATACTTACATCTCTGATTCCGCTTCCTTTTATGCATTGTTCTTCTGTACATGTCCATTAGGTTGTGCATACAATATTTTGAGGAGAAAATGATTCCTTTCCCTTGAACTCACTTCACCGTAGTGACACTGTGAGAGACTGACTGAACAGAGTTCAGCATACAGGCATGCACCATTCCAGACCGTACCACCAACACATAACGGGGGTGTTGACAAATATGCAATAAAAATATGAAAAGAATCGAAACTATTATAATTTACTAATCAGGACCCAATAAATACTGTGGTTTTGCATCAATACAAACAAAATAAATACATAAATAAATAAAACATTATTTAAGACCATACCATATATACTGTATAAGAACATACATATCTTTTACAAACAGATACAGTATGGATAAATGTATGGCTAAATATATAGCAACAGTTGATGTAGTTTACACTCTTGTCTCAGATTGTCTCTGATCTTGGATCATATTGTACATCAAAAGAACAGCATCCCACAGCTGCTGTCATTCATTTGAAAATTCTTGGTAGTTATTGACATTATAAGCCCGGAGGCTTTTCATGCAGGAATATGCTTTTTCCTTTGAATTAATGACAGGCTCTGAAATTGAAGACATTGTGATGCCTTCATATCTGTCAGAGGGTTTCAGATATAGAAAAACTAATTATAGTGCCATGAATACACACGCACCCACTTTGACACTGATATTCTTATAAAAGCTTTTTTAGACAAGCTAAAGAAAACAATGATTGCAAAGTCTTATACTGAGGTCTGGGAGATTCTAAATTGTTAAAGAAATCTAAGGTCCTATTTCTGACTCATACTTATTTTGAAGCTTACATAAATCGTACGTTTGGCACAATATGGTTTATTCATAGGTGTTCTTCAAATAATCAGACAAATATCAGATGGTGCTTTTTATGAGATTTTAGTATTCTTCTGGAGTACTTTTTAGATTCTGCTATACTTTGGAGTAAAAGCAATCTGCATGAATTGAATGGGGTCAAGAGTTATGAATAAATCCTCCACAATAAGCGTTTGTTATGATTTGTCTTTGCCACTGCAGTGCCATGGATGTCTACGGTATATTTATATTGCCATCTAGTGGTTAACATTAGCCAATTTTCATTCAGTAAAAAGACATTAAGATCTTTTAAAAAAATACTGCAAAATTGCACACTGCGTCTCATTTAGTAATTTAAAATATAGTATTGCACAAAATTAAATTATCCATAATGAAACACACTTAATTAAAAGCAGACTTTCTTCTCTAATGCACTATTTGTGTACATAAATTTTTTCAGCTTAATGGTTCATGCCGGTTCACCTGTACTTCCTCTTGCCAACATAGGGGGGCAATAAAACACTGTAAATATGAGTCACAGACAAAATGAACTCACTTTCTACACCATGGAAAAATAGATAGATTCTTAAAACTAATGATTTCTATACTTTCCAGGTACAAATCAGCAGCATAGTCTTGCTAATTCAGCAGGAAGGGGCTGCTTGGTTTTCCAATGTAAATTCCAATTTAAAATGTAATTTTTCTTTGTTGTTGCTGTTGTTTTGTGAATAAAAATGATTACTTTTTTTAAACAGAATTATTTTTGCAACCACAGGTGCCAGTATACATACGTATGTATGTATGTGCGACATTAGGGGGGCAAGTTTTTAGTCATACAGACATATCTGTTGTCATACAGTCAACAGACATATCTGTTGATTTCTTAAACGCAATGGCCAATCAGAAACGTTTTGTCAGAATTCACTCACCGCTGAAAGCGCCACAGTTTTTAAGTGCAGTTATCTCATTGCAGACGCGATGTAAGAGATTCATTGTGCAGTTTAGAGAGCCTCGTTGATTATAACGGAACTTTGTAAGATCGCTATGAAGGAAGATGAGTTACGCTTTTTAGTGATAAAGGGAGCTTTAGGGTATAATCCATCAGAATGTACAGGTGCATCTCAATAAATTAGAATGTCGTGGAAAAGTTCATTTATTTCAGTAATTCAACTCAAATTGTGAAACTCGTGTATTAAATAAATTCAATGCACACAGATTGAAGTAGTTTGAGTCTTTGGTTCTTTTAATTGTGATGATTTTGGCTCACATTTAACAAAAACCCATCAATTCACTATATTACAATGAGGAGCAGTGATTTCTCATTTGACAAGCTGGAAAGTGTCCAAAGACATCTAAAACCAAGCAAAGCCATTTGAATTTTTCATCAAAATATTTTTGATTACCAACACTTTGCTTGTTACAAATGCTCAGCTCTGTATAAAATCAAGCAACTAATATTTTTCACAAGGAAAGATAAAGTCATCTGGGGGGAATGTAGCGGATAAAAAAGTAGCAGTAACCTTAAGGAAAATCAGTCCAGCACAAAAGACCCATTGGAGTTCAACTCAAACCACTGCTGCAACATTGACAGCAGGAGTTTAATTTTTAATAAAGGATGATGAATATTTACCAGGTAGCCATGGGAACGGCTATGACCTAAGATCAACTGTCTATGTAGATCTCACATCTTTCTGTCCTTTTCTCATTTTTCTCATTGAAATCACCTGTTTGAGTCCAGTCATTTACATAAATAAAAAGAGAAATAAATTTCACTTACCTAAGGTCTGTCCAGCCAGTATCCTGCTGTTCTCACCAGCCACAGCCGATCGAGCGTTCCTCTCGCAGACATACTGGACGAAAGCAAAGCCCTTGTGCACAGAGCAGCCGGTGATCTTCCCATACTTGGCAAAAATGAGCTCAATGTCAGTTTTCTTGACCACAGCAGTGTTGAGGTTACCAATGAACACTCTGGAATTCAGTGAGCGAGGATCTGTCTTGTTTGTTATATTGCTGGTTTGAGTTTTCCCAGTCATCCTTCTCAGGATGTCCTAAGACACACATAAAACAAATATTAACGGAAAATGTTTGAAACCTTAACATTTTTTTTCCATACAACACAAAGAACTAGAACTATTTTTAAAATGTAATTAAAGCAACTGTATCTCTGTCCTGACAACAAGTTTAGCGTGGTAATATTCATGTTAATGTTAATGTGTTTGGTCTTGGCGGAACAGATCTGCTACACTGCTGCTGTAGCGGCAGAGCAAGTACCAAGACTTTCTACTTCCAATACATCCACAGACATGCTGCTGTGAGCATAGGAAATACTGCTGCTGCACATATAGCACATATTAAATAACCCCCATGTATAACATGCATGAAATCACCCCATAGCAGATCTATAAGGTGGAGCTGGGGAAGGTGGAGGTTTCTGAAGCATGTTGCAACTGCTACAGCAAGCACTAGTCGAGTATTTGAATGTTGAACAGCAAGCTCATTGGCATAAAAAGGGAGCTGACTTAGTTATACAATGGAGTTTCAGCAGACTCATTCATGATGTACCTGTTCATTTCCTAACCCATCTCCATGGCAACAGACATAAAAGTTTATGATCAAGAAAGAAAGTTATTTTCAGATACTGTACCTACTCCACCCATTCACACCCTCCTCCCAAAACAAACTATTGCTAATATCTGCAGCTGCTATAAATGGAGCAAAAATAAAATAGTTTTTTTTTGTGCTATTTATGTTAGGTGATCCCGTGATCCTGTCAGAATATTTTTTAAACACTCTTTTCATGTATGCAGAACCTATACATCTGGCTGATGTGGCAACACTAGGGTTGACACCAGAGAAGACACCAGTCGGAATGAGCTGTGAGGAGCACTAGAGTGTGAGAAAGCTGAGACGTGTGAAGTTCACACTCAAAAAAAGCTTCTGATATAAGGCTTCTCTTGTCTCTTGTCACTGCAAGTGATGACAAAGTGTTTCTTCAGAAATCTCTTGTCTGTATTAATTGTAAATATAATCAATAGAGCAAAATCATTGTTATCAAGGGTTTAGCTAACATACGCTTTATGACAAACACATCTGAACAAGCTAATCAAGGTGTTCAGGGTTGCTTGAAAATTACGGGCAGGTGTACTGGAGCAGGGTTGGAACTGAGTCTGCAATGATTGCTTTGGAGAGATCTGGAGAGCCCTGTTCTATAAGATCTACAAATCTTCTCAAAATAAAACACACCTTTATCATGGTGAGACTGTTTCAAAAGTGAAACATCCACATTTTGAATTTTGTGGCATTTAGTCCAAGTCCGTTAGCTTCATACACGAGAGTAGGGGTCAGTAAGATTTTTTATTGTTTTTGAAAGAAGCCTCCAATGATTTCCAAGGCTGAATTTATTTGAATAAAATTACAATAAAACAGTAATATTGTGAAATATAAATACAATTAAAAATAACTGTATACATTAATATTTTAATATATTTAAAATATATAATTTATTCCATTGTGGGCAAAGCTGAATTACTCTAGTCTTCAGTGTCACATGACCCTTCAGAAATTATTCTAGTACGTATGTTGATTTTGTGCTCAAGAAACATTTCTCATTATTATCAATGCTGAAAGCAATTTTGATGCTTAATATCTTTGTGGAAACTGTGATAGATTTTTAAGTATACTTTGATTAACAGAAAGTTCAAAGGAAGGAACATTTATTTAAAATACAACCCTGTAACATTACAAATTCATTTTACTTTTAATCAATTAAATGCATCCTTGCTGAATACAATTATTTATCTTTAAAAATGTATTTTTAAAAAATCCTATTGACCCCAAATGTTTGAACAGTAGTGTATATGCTAAAAGTTAACAAAATAAACCCTTAGCAGGTATGTGCATTTAAAATGTACAGTCTTTCACTGCCAGGAAAACAAAACAAAAATATGCATGACTCATCCTGCACTCTCCAGCTTTTTGTCCAATCAAATGTTCTTTAGAATGAAGATGCCCCTCCCCTCAATACTAACTTCTGACTACCAGTAAACCAAGTTCATGACTAAACTAAAGTCTTTAAGCTATTAGAAAAGAACTATTTGGGATTAAGAAATGTGCTTCATTTTTTTATAGAGAAGGAACAATGCAACTTTCTCAGATTCCTTTATATCAAATCTACCATTCAATACACTAGAAACAAAAGAACTATTTCATCTGTGAGACAGTGAGTCAACCGCTCTGACTGATCCTCAGCAACACCAGCATCCTGCTCTCATCATTCCTACCGAATCACTGATGCATGAACACCTTTTGATTCCCTGTGTTAACAATAACCTCACCTCATTCTCTCAGGTTGTCAGGCATGGCAAAGCTCTGGCATTATGACTGGACACGACATTTCTATTCCCTTTCAAACTCCATCACTTCACCAGCTTTACTGAGCCCTCGCACAGTCTGTTATTCTATCACATTCCACATTCAAACACTCTTTACAGTACTTCACACTTCTCCTAGGTTTATTGGTTAAGGGTGAATGTGTGTGACCATCAAAACCAAATATATGTGGCATCAAGCCATCTCCATTCTCTATTAAAAACATCTCATGCATTTTAAGCTAAATTTAGTTAAAAATTACTGTTCATCTTGTGTCTGATTGTTTTGTTGTGCATTGCAACAGACTTTTTTACAAGCAGGTAAGATTATAAAATTACCAACTCAAATCATTTTTTTTATGTCCACATACAGTATTTATTTATTTAGCCTTGTAATAAACAGGATACTATTGTTGCATTTATCTAACGCAGCTTTTGATTCTAAATTTGTGTTTGTATGGCTGTATAACTCTGTACAGTAGCTGTTCCTGATGCTGTGCATGTCCAGATGAGTTTCTGCATGAAAACTCTCAAACACTTCACACAGAATACATAAAAAAACAATGTGAGAAATCATCACAAGAGCTTCTACCAATCCAGTATACAGCAAACCTCACCTTCATTAAGCATTCACATCTACATTCATGAGATACTGAAGGATCATTTGATTTTTATATTGTTCTTATAGAAATCGCAAAAGCTTCAGAAGGCATAATGTTCTTTTGTTAACTATTTAGTGCCATGGCATTCTTTTAAAACCTTCCTTCTGGCATTAAGCAGACATTTAAGTTACTCCCTCTGCTGGGTGATCCCAAATAGAGAGTAAAATCAACCAGGCATGTGTGAGTGGGTCACTAGAGCAGTGACTAATTAGCTGGTAACACAATGAACTGCAGCTAACATGTGCATGTCAATACGGGGTCAATTCAAGGTTGAAATCCATTCACTTTTACATGAACAGGGCACTGAAATAGTCTCAAAACATCTCCCTGAGGTCATATTTGTGTCAACACAGATAACAACAGTCTGCTGACATCACTAATAACTCTGAAAACAAGACAAATAATGAAAAACATATTTATTTAGTTATTTCCCTGTGGGTTTTTTTATTGTAAATGAAACGTACCTAAAAATATCCAAAAACAAACTCACATATAACATTAAAGGGGTAATTCACTGCTCGCAAGATGACTCTATTAATTTTCGTGTTGTGATGAAAATATTTTACCTAATTTGTGTAATTTGGTTGAAACTGCTTGTAAATGTCTCATTATGGTACATCATCACTAAATCTTGGATTCAATCATTATCAACTTGTTTTCTTTCAATTAGCACAGGTTTTGAATTTAGTTTATGTACCTTAGGTTTAAGTTCACTGAAAAAAAGAATGTGTATGAGCTGATTTCATTGTGACCTACGATCAATCAGTTCCAAAAAGGAAAACAAAACTTGTGCTAATTGAAAGAAAAATGGGTGAAAGACTTCAGCATCCATAATGCACCTGGCTTGATCAGATTATTTGTCAGCAGGGATACAAAAATGTGGAAGTATGCTCTGTAGTTTTCACAAATGCCCAGGAGCTGTCAAAAGTTCACCAGATGATGTATTTTACATCACTCAGCTTTTGCTGATTAATAAATGGTGCAGGTAACACAGAAAAATAATGCACATTGTTAATTTACTTATACTGCCATAACAATACAAAGCTGATTGAAAATCAGTGAACTCTCCCTTCAACAAAATATTTTGAACAGGCGAGAAACTTCTACAAATACTAAATGAAAAGATTTGTGGAAGATTTAATCACTGTTGAATAGGTTGTAGCCTGCTGGGTACAATTACTGCAGCGCCAAAGTCAATGAGGTCTGAGGATGATGGTATATTCTGAGTAGGAGCAGACTCCATCTCTTCATTCTCTATCTACAATGAATTTCCAAACAAACCAGAGGAATTAAATCGCAATTGAGCATTGTTAATAGAGAGATAGACTGATTTTGATCTATCCGCTATCTCTAAAGAAGCATACGGCATGATACTTACAGCTTATTCCTGCTATTAAAACTGATAAATTAATAAACATACTCTATCTGTATTCAGGTTTGTAGAGCGAAGCTCTGATGAAGACTCAGGAATTCTGTCCAGGTATGGTATGGTAGATACTCCCATCCCTTCTAGAATTCCCAATGAGAGATAAGCCTTACTTGGGGAAAGGATATTTCACGGCTGGCTTCCCCCACCTGTCCCTTGACTGACACATTCTGAATAGTAAATCATTCTTTTCAGAATAACATACACCTTCTGCACTATCATTCTCGGCTCTAAAAGAACAATATTGATTAAAGAAAATGGGTTTGCAGGAAGACTGTGAGCATCTTATCTAGTTGAGGACATGACTGATTATTATGTTTTTGCCCCTGCTGTGCTTGCACAAAAGGAATATCGCTGGCTGAATAAAATGAAAGGCAACTCTGTGAAAATCATGTGATTTTCTTCAAACTTTGCAGGAAGTTTAGGGTTTTAATTCTCAAGAGTACCCTCTCATAGACCAATCATTTTAATAAGGTCAAGACCAGTCATAGCAAGGCTATGTATACAGTGGGTACGGAAAGTATTCAGACCCCCTTCAATTTTTCACTCTTTGTTATATTGCAGCCATTTGCTAAAATCATTTAAGTTCATTTTTTTTTCTCATTAATGTTCACACAGCACCCCATATTGACAGAAAAACACAGAATTTTTGAAATTTTTGCAGATTTATTAAAAAAGAAAAACTGAAATATCACATGGTCCTAAGTATTCAGACCCTTTGCTCAGTATTTAGTAGAAGCACCCTTTTGATCTAATACAGCCATGAGTCTTTTTGGGAAAGATGCAACAAGTTTTTCACACCTGGATTTGGGGATCCTCTGCCATTCCTCCTTGCAGATCCTCTCCAGTTCTGTCGTACCCACTGTAGATGCCGTGAATGAGACCAACCAACTGTGAAATGCAACAGATTTAAATAATTGAAGTGACAAACGCAGACATTATTACACATTGCAGATTCAAAAAGTTTTTCATTTCACATTAGGTTCTTCAAATTAGGTGTATTGGGTTTTGAGTCTTTTAAGTCACAAGAACATACAGTAGCCTATAGATGTTTTTAAAGAACAACAGAGAAAAGATAAAGATAAAAAGATTTTAGCTCCTATAGTAACCTTTTTATTCCAATTAGAACTATCTTACAAAATAAAATAAATCAAGAAAGAGGCTGTACTGCAAACTTCGGAACAAACTCAAGATTCATTAATCATGCATGCATTAAAAAAAATTGCCTACAGGCCTTGCTCATAAAATAAATAGACTAATTAGGCTATAGTTTAAAATCAACGTCAACGTGATATTTTTAGCCATCAAACGTAATAAAAAGAATCTAGCACCTCTTTGAAAAATAGTCCTATAAAATCTAAAATGACCTCAGGGAATACATAAGGACAAGCATCTCAACATTTAATAACGTAACCTCAAAAATCGCGAAAGACAGCAGCTGAAACACTGAAGCTACTCACCAATCACAGAGACCGAGCATCAGATGAGATGGAGAGCGAGTGCAGAGCTGCGCTTCTGGATCGCTCAGAGCTCAGCTTCACTGGATCATGTGACAGCGGCTGCTGCCCGCTTCATCATCCATCCACCTGTCCATACTGCATCCATTCATCCACAGCTCACTTACAACTACATTTGCTTTATATAGCTGGGTGTTTCTTCAACTTCGGTCGCTTTTATGTCCCAGGGGTTGATTTTTATTAAAACTAAGATTGCCTAAATTTATGCTAGCTAACATCTTAGTAGCTGATCAAATTACCCTTAGTTACCCTTACCCTAATTTCCACCACAGAATGATATCAAATACTATATATTAGAGATCTGGTGAAAAATGACACTGTGATGTAGGCTAATGTTTATAGACACAAAAATGACATAGCCTAACGCTTGATGATGATTATGTGTGTTCCATCAGACAAATTAAAGAAAATTCATGAGTGTGGAAAGCGTGTCTTAAAAGTCTCTGTATGTCAGTGTCCTTGTTGTTTGTTGTGTTTTGATTTTTAACCTTGAAATATCCGTTTCAAAATCATTCTGATAGGCTACACTGGCTTCTAATAAGGCGAATGGCATTCTGTTCTGGTTCCCCACAAACGTCTGTTCTGCTTTAATGAGCTTGTGTTTTATTAATGTCTACACCTACCCCAATCCTAAACTTAACCTTACAATAAATGGCGCAGTATTGATGTGTGCATGCCCAATAGGACAATTTGGCATAGTAGAGCAATCGACAGTGACGTACAGTATTTAAGACAGTGAACATCACTCACTTAAATTTAGGGGATACATTTAGAAGATTCGCAAAAATACAACAAAAAAAAAAACCTCTGCAGTTTATTTAATTATTTACGACAAAATAACAAAAAAAATGTAGTTTTAATCATAGCTTATTTACTAGTTAATAAGTGTTCAAATATTTTAAAGCTTATTTAAACAGATCATACTGTTTCACTAAAACCCAGTAAGTAATGGAATTCAGGAATTCAGAAAATCAGGATGTAGTTTCTTCCAGTATCAATCACAGGTCTCTGATTCAATGAAAAATTACATGTGTTGCAGTGATTCAGGCTGTCTAACTTTTTATAGATTCTAGAGGAGCAACAAAACGGCAACTTTATCTGAAATGAAATCTTTGAGAATAAACTGAAGTGTACCAGACAACTCCATCTGAACCAACAGTTACAAATGTTCCTCTTGGGTTGTCAAGCCTTTACACCATGTCACGTGCTTCAGAGCCTGCATGAGGAGGTTGTGTTCATCTTATGTGCGACAGTGCTGACTATCTTCTCTTCTTCTTCATCCTCCGTGAGCACAATATTTTATTATGCTAAAATTCAACTCTAACACTCTAGCTGTTAATAAATTCCAGCGTTTATAGGAACAGACACACCTGAATGTATAAATATACTTAAGTCATGCCATTTTATATTGATGTTATTTTTTCCTCAGCAGGTTTCCCTGCAAGGCAAAGACGTATTTTCTCATTTGAAGCTCAGTACAAAGAATCTGTCATCAATGTTTTGTAAGTATGTCACCCAGAGAGATTAAAGTATAGTTAAAACTGTTCATGTAACTAGGGCATCTCTTATTTCGTCAAACGGTTACCTTCAGTACATTAGGCAACTTACAATGGACAGTTTTAGGACTGTTTTAAGTGGGAGAACTTGCACAATTGGTGGCTGACTAAATACTTTTTTGCCCCACTGTATGACTAACATCTGGTTTGAAAATCATTGTCAGACACAGCTCCTTTAGGCCAAACATTAGTCAAAGTCAAAGTTTATATGTCAAACAGCAGTATGTGTGTTATTTTACAAGCTCACTATTGGGAAGAAAAGCTCAACTTTAGAACTTTTCAATGGCCACATTTCACTGTACAGAAGTGCAATCAAACTAATTAAAATCTCTGTTCAAGGCCAGATCTTCTTACAGTCCCTTTCAAGAATGTTCAAACACAAACTCACTCACTGACCACATTAAAATGAGAAACTCTGCAGTACTGCTGAGTACAGCGCACTGCTAATTTCTGTTTGCTTATGCAGAGGACATATTTACCCTCATTATCATTCCGGGCCCTTTCCCATCCACTTAATGACATTCAACTGGTCCCGCAGGTATGCAGGCCATGGAGAGGTGCAATCAGCACAAACCGGACTCATGCTGACTGAGGCATTAAGCAACAGTTCAAAGTCTCGTAGGCTTTGCTATATCCCCTCTCAAAGCCCACCTAAGGCCAATTAGACAGTAAGGAAAAAACCACAACAGATGTGCCAGAAGTATGAAATGCAAAGCTTCTGAGTCTGCACTTGGGTAACATATCCCAACTGATTTCTTTGCCTGTCATAATGAAGTATGTCAATAAAATCTGCCGTGTGTTCCTGGGAGAGTGTGTTGGGTAATCCAAGTATTAGGTATATTTTGTGTGCTTCATCAGTTCCTTTTTAGTTAGATTTGCCCGCTGAGGGACCTTCTGAGAGTGGCATATTTACAGTGCACTTGTAGTTAATGCATATTTCAACATGTTCACAGTCTGTGTGAGTAGTCATTAGTGTTACTATATTGGCATGCCAAGCTCTTTTAAAACAGTTATCAAGTGCACTCATTTTTCATCTGCCTGAGGGATCTTTTGGTCAAATGCTGCATGTTGTGAATAATTTAAATATCGGGTATTGGGTACTAATGTTTAATGTGCTTTTATATGGTGTTTAGAATAAATGATATTTCTATTCCACACAAACCTTTTTCTCGGTCTACAGCAGGCATACATGTTCGAAATAATAAATATATATCTAAGTAACTTGTAAGTTGTATATTTTATATTGTGAATGACTTATTTATTTTCCCTTAGAAGATATCTCTTTTTAAAGGGGTCATATGATGCTATTTAAATTACAAGCTCTTGGTGCATAAAGAAGATCTGTAAAGTTGCAAAGACTAAAGTCTCAAATCCAAAGTGATATTCTTCATAAAAGTTCAGAGTCAGCCACACCTACCTAAAACGGCTCGTTCTAACACGCCCCCACATATCTACCTCACTATGTGGGAAGATTTGCATAACGCCGGCCAAATGTTCACGCAAAGAAAGAAGGCGTAACTTTTATTCTCGCTGTAGTATTGTTGACGCTGCAGCCATGTCGTGAAGGCACTGTGTGCTTCGTTGTGAAAGCGAAACTAGTTTGTTTGGTCTTCCAAAAGAGGACGAGATCGTCATGCCTAGAGCTGATCTGTGCTGGTCGCTGAGGGAATACATCAACTTTCAACAGCACACCTCGCTTTTTCAGCCCGATAAGCTTTGTAAAAATCGACGCGTTTCAAAAAGGCGGGGCATAGAGGAGAAACAATAATGTACAGTATGTGGAAAATAATGTGTTTTTTTAACTTTAAACCGCATAAACACATTTCATTACACCAAATACACAAAATAATGTTCTTTTTAACAGCATCATATGACCCCTTTAAAGTTTGAGCTCTTTCGTCTATTTTCTTGTTCCCCTTTTTAAAGCCTGCCATTGCATAACACATCAACTTTGTGTTTATTCTGCATTTGCATGATTCAAATTATATTAATAATTCAATACATTATTTTTGTTGAAATAGATATACCAATCTGTCATATCATGTGTTGTCACTTTTATGTAAATCACATAAACTTTAGTATTTACTCAGAAAATTAATTTTGAATGCATACATTTCTGTATTGCAATATGATGAATTTGTTTAGCTGTACTGAAACATGAAGCCATTGTGATATTTTTTATGTTAATGCATGTTTAAAAAACACCAGCTTTAATTCATTTAAGTCATTTATTTTTTACTGAAAATATTAAACAAATACAGAAGAGAAAGATTGTTTTTATCAAAGTAGAAACTACATTAAATACATATCAAGAATTCACAAAACAAATTTAGAGAAAAACTACCATACAGATTTATGTATCAGTAAGTATTATTCAAGTACCCTAACCCTACATTATATAATACATAAATATATATATTGTTTCACATTACCACTAACAAAACCCCCAAATATATGGATGTGTTTCCCAAAATGACATTTCAGACAGAATTAAGACCTTAGATATCTCTAGAGTTACTAAAACATCAATGCAAAAACTATTCCTGGATTATCCTGAATTGCTTCTTTTGCACAGACCTAAACTGGTGCTATGTGTGAATAAACATGATTGAATTTGTAAATTCTCATCCAGTTTTTTCTTCTCATTTCTTGTAGCCACCCATATAGCCTCTCAAGAAGTCCTCAAATCGTGGAACTGGATACTCAGGGGCCACATTTTCAGGGAGAGCTTGTTCTTGCTGGGCTGGCTCATCTTTGTGTTTTTCACTTGCAGATTCTGCCCAGCGCAGACGGCAGTTGTAATCGATTTCTGGGTCACAGTCCGGATGGGGCTCAATGATGCCGTCTTTGACCCTCTTGGCTGCTTCAGCTCCAGTGGACGTCTGAGGGGCAAACTTACCACAGTTGGGGTCGTAGGGGTGGCAGTCTGGTCTAGAACTGGCAGCACTTGCCCTCAAGTCCTGGCTCTCCACTGGGGTGCAATCCTTATCATAGAACATGTAGCAGTCATAACCTTCCTTGGTCTTCCCATGGATGCCCAGGCGGTGACGGGTCTGGAACTCCGGGAGAACTGGAGGGGGTTTCCTGAGAGCAGCGGCTCCACCCATCAGACAATATGGATCGTAGCGAGGGTCGCAGGCCAGGTTGAGAGGCGCAGGCTCATCTCTTGGAGCGTATTCCAAGACAGGCTTATTGACTCCAGCTAGTTTGGCAGCTGTAAGGGGGTTGCAGCCCTCTTCAAACAAAGGGTTGCAAAACTGCTCTTTGGGGGCTTCTGCGTTCCCACCGATTTGGGCTGCAGGTGCAACTACATTCGTGACGCAAAGGGGGTCAATGGCGGGGTTACAAGTGGGGTACAGGTGATACAAACCTGAAGGTGATCTGGCCACCAGCTTGGGCTGGCAGTAAGGATCTTTGATAGGATCACATCCAAGGTGAGCGTAGGAGGGCAGAGGTCCTAGCGAGGGCCTGTGGCCGTAAGCAGCGCGCAGGTGGTACTGCAAACACTCTGTGTCTGAAGGATTGCAGATACGCAACAGTTCCGCCCTCTGCTCAGCTGGCAAGAAAGGCTCTAAGACCGGAGCATAGTAGTAAGCTGGCGGGGTTTTCAGAGGCAGAGGGAGTAGAGGAGACAGAATCGGAGCAGGGACCTTTTCTGGGGCGGGTGAAGGCTCTTCTTCTGCAGCTTTTGGTCTAACAGCATAGAGGCAGTAGGGGTCGAGGTAAGGGT